AAACTGGCTGGGGAATTCTGGGAGTTGAAGCTGGCTGGGGAATTCTGGGAGTTGAAGCTGGCTGGGGAATTCTGGGAGTTGAAGTCCACAGGATCCTTGCTGACAAACTGGCTGGGGAATTCTGGGAGTTGTAGCTGGCTGGGGAATTCTGGGAGTTGAAGTCCACGTGATCCTTGCTGACAAACATTGCTTAAGTCCCCAAAGAAGGAATGTAGCTTTAACAATGCTTCAAAGTTATGCCAGGCTCGGAAAAAGCGACTTAGGATCTGTCCTCGGAGTTATGACCATCACAGACACCACCAATCCCCCCGCGACGGCAAATTTGTGTACTGGCTCCCATTTTTTTGATGGTTGCAAAAATCACTCCCCGGCCAGCCTTCCAACGAGCAGAATCAATTGTGGGGGGGAGCCGTATTCACTTAACGACCACACGATTCGCTTAACGACCACACCGTTTGCTTAGTCACGGGCGGCTCTTGAATCCATCATTGGAGTTTCTAATAAAACTCGGGAACAAGTTTTATTTTGGTTTGTAAGAATTGAGGAATCGGCCAACGTTTTAAGCTCCAGCAAGTGTGGGAAGTTGCCGGCAGGGGAATGCTGGGAATTGAAGTCCGTCCATCTTAAAAGTTTCCCAAAATGGTGGTGCGGATGGATACCAGATTTTAAGCAGGCTTTGCAAATGGAATGGGTCTTAAGGGATCACCTTTGACCTCCACAACGGAAGGAGCACCATTGGTCGGGGATTCGGTGAAGGGGGAAAGGGCACCAAGCGGCGATTTTTCTGCCCAAGTTTTATTTTATGTTATTTATTCTAACTTTGTGGGGTGTTTTTTTAATGTCTTCCCTTGTAGGCCTTTGCTATGAAATGAGTGGTCTTAAGTGAGGCCATTTGGGGGCCCACCTCCCACTACGACGAGGTCCCCTCACTACTCACCCCCCCCCCGCCTGGGATTTATAGCATTTAGCGCCCTGTTACTTCTTCCAAAGCCAAGGACCATCTTCCGCAAGCAGGCATGAGCGCTGGATGCGAATCCATCCAGAACAGCGGGGGCGGGAGCAGCAGTGGCAGCTCCAGCGCCCCCCGCAGGACACGGGCTCCTCGTGGGAGCGACGCCCAGGGCCAAGCCACCGACGACATGGACGTCAACAGCAACGGCTCCAGCGGCAACGAGTCTCCCAGGGATTCGCATAGTAGTTCGCACAGCAGTGGCAACGGGAAGGACTCGGCTCTCCTGGACACCACGGAGAGCAACAAGAGGTAGGAGAAAGGGTCAGTCCTCGTCTTAACGACCAGAATGAATTCCTGTCGCTAAGCAAGACGATCCTGAACTGAGTTGTGTCTGATTTTACAGCCTTGGTTGGTTTTTTGGTGGTTTTTTTTTTTTTGCCACAGCGGCGAAGCAAATCCCAGAGGTCGTTAAGTGAATCATGTGGTCGTTAAGTGAATCCGGCTTCCTTCCTTGATGGAAATCTGGCCGGGAATGTCACCAATGTGGGGGGGGCTGTCATCTGACCACAGGACACTGCAACAAATTTTACTGTGCCCGCATTTTAGTCATGTGATTAATGCCGCAACGGTCATAAGTGCGAGGACCGGTCGTTAAGTCAAATTTTCCCCAGTGCTGTTGTAAGCTTGAATGGCCACTCAACAAGGGCGTGTATGTTTGAGGACTACCTGTAAAGCCTTGGTCATTAGCAGGTCACCAAAGTCGTCCCAGAATCGGATGGTACAAGTAGTCCTCAACTTAACGACCATTTGGTTAGCTACCGTTTCAAGTTACGACGGCGCTGGGAAAAAAAAGTGACTTAACAACCGGCCCTTGCGCGTGATGATTGCGGCTTTCCCAGCCTGCGTCCGACCAGCTTTGTCCGTGGATTCACTTCACGACCACGTGACTCGCTTAACGACCACGGCAGAAAAACAGTTGTAAAATCAGCCACAGTCGTGTGGGATGATCATTTGACAACCGCCCATTGCTTAGCAATGAAAAGTTCTGCTTCTAATTGTCGTAAGCCGAGGACTTAACCTGCAATTTTGGGTTGGGGGGCGGGGATGATAATAGAATTGGGTGTTTTTCCAAGATTTAAACCAGTCCCCCCACAATCTCTCCCCAGCTCCAATTCGCAGAGCCCGTCTCCTCCCAGCAGCTCCATCGCTTACAGTCTTTTGAGTGGCGGCTCGGAGCAGGATAATCCTTCCACCAGCGGCTGCAGGTAAGCTGGGATGGGCCAGGTGTTCTTCCTGAGAAAGCCTAAACCACAATCTTCGTCCCCCAAACCCTCTTTTTATTTAAACGGCTGTGCGTTATGTTCGTTCCCAGCCCACGAGGCTTCCCAAACCGCCCGCGAAGATTCCGACAGATGCCTGCTCGAGTTGCCACCGTCTTTCAGGGGGATGTTGATAAACGCCCACCTGATCTCCCAGAGGCCTCATTGCCAAATGCAGAGCAAGGCCAAACTTAGCACAGAGTCAAACACAACGACTCAAAAGCTAGAACCGACCAACATGAACAAATTGCTTCCTGCAAAAAGCTCACGCCCCATTCGCTCCTCTTTTATGTCTTAGGGGGGAGGAGGAGGCCATCCTCTCCAAGCCTTGCTCCCGAGTCCACCCTGTTTTCTTAATCGTTCTTGGCTTTTCTGGCGGCTCTGCGTATGCGCACACTGGGAACAGGCTCCCGCTGTTCTTCTGTTCCTCTCTGATATCTGACTCCAGAGGCACTGGAAGCAGCAATAACTACCAGATGAAGAGAGAGGGAGGGAGAGAGAGAAAGAGGGAGGGAGGGAGAGAGAAGGAGAGAAGGAGGGAGGGAGAGAGAGAAGGAGGGAGGGAGAGAGAGAA